TCAGTTGGAGGGGCCTGTTTGCTGGACTGAGATGGAGCTCTCTTACGTCTCATTGCATAGGAGGAAGCTCTCAGTCATTTCTTGTGGAGGATGAGGATGAGGTAGAAAATCTTTCTTTTTGGAAGCTAGGGGAGCTCTGTCCTTTCTTGCGAGGAGCGAGGTCTCTTCAATCTTCTTAAGACGAAAAGGCGACATACCAAGAGGTAAAAAGGGATGCTCTCTTCTGTTGCCACGAATACCCTGGGGACTCTCTTCTTGTTTTGGAGCATGAGGTCATTTCCTTTTGAATGCTGAGGGATGACCAGATGTCTCTACTTGAAAATTGGGGGGAGCTCCACCCTTTCTTCTTGAGCGTCCCCCCCTTATCAAGAAAGAAAGGAGGTCTCTTGTTGCAGAGGGGTAAACGGAGCCCTCTTCTTTCTCGTCAAGTTGGAGCGGCCTGCTTGCTTTGTTGAGATGGCGCTTTCTTCTGCCCCCTTAGATTGCTCTCAGTCTCTTCTTGTGGAGGATGAGGCAGAGGATTTGTTTTTTTGGAAGCCAATTCAGGGGACGGGGTAGAGGGCTGCTCATGTCTTGTTGAAGGCTAAGGGGAGGATCAGACTCTTCTTTTGAAGATTGAGATCCTCACTTCTTGAAAGCTATCTCTCTTCTATCCCTTGAGGAGAAAGAGGGGACGACAAGGAGATCCTCTCTCTTGTTGTCGACTAGGAGGCAGCCGGAGTTCCTTTTTTCTTGTGAAGTTGGAAGGGTTCTCTGCTCCTTGGAGATGCTGCGGTAGGGGATGTGCCAAGGGATCTCTTCCTTACCCTTTTGGAGAAAAGAAGCTCATCTCTTGCGGATGACGAAGCAGCGAGCTCTCTTCATTTATCGTCAGAGGAGATGGAGAGTTACCAAGAGGTAGAGGAGCTCGCTGCTAGAGATCAGCTGAATGACTTGGAGGGACTTTCTCCGTGTTTTCGTTGAGGGGTGGGGAATCTCCGCCCTTTCTTCTTGAGCGTATGCCCTTGTCCATCTTTTGAAAAGGTAAAGGAAATAATCAAGATCTCTTTCCGTTGCCAAGAGAGAACGGAGGTTTCTTCTTCTGGTGCGTATGCTGTTCTCCATCTTTTCGGGATCCAATCCCCTGATCAAGAGAGAGAGGAGTTCTTTTCTTTCCGACCGATGGGTAAACGCAGATTTTTGAATTCTCGTGAAGTTGGAGGGGCCTGTTTGGTTGCTGCTTGTCGCTTTCTTTGTGTTAGCTTGCTGTCCGACTCAGGTCTTGTGACACAAACCTGACATTAACAGAATGTTGTTCCAATACGTGCCCTAGCTCGCTGGGACCAGCTCGCCGGCCTTCGTGTGAGGATATATGACCACAGCAAGGCCCGAATGCCAGCTTCCAAATAGACCCTGTTTAAGCCAGCCACGGGGGGGCCCCACCCTATATCCGGACCATTGACCTTTGGGGGGGGAGGGGGGGGGGGGCTGCGGAGCGCGTGACCATGCTTGTCAGCAACACACCGCACCTGTCGACTCCTCGCCATGGCCGCCGGGCGCCTGGACCCCGCCCCGGCCCCTACGCCCTCTTCTGCTGATCACGTCCCGCCGCCACACGATGAAGGCTTAACTGTATATATATATATATATATATATATATATATATAAATATTTTTTTTTTTTTGTTTTTTGTTTTATTTTTTTGCGCCCCCCCCCCCCCGGCCCCCCGCATGGGTCTGGGGGAGGGGGCTGAGCACCACCCCTGAGGCCTTCGGGCGCGGGGAGGGGAGGGAACCCACCCCAAAAACGTAATGAGCAGGCCTTCGCACTCCACCAAGCACTCCAAATCATGAATTATTTTGACACCTTCGCCCCAATATTAATGAAAAGAGTTGACAAACTCTGAACACTGAAGCGGTTGAGGACCCCCATCAGTACACGGACATGTTGTCAGGCAAACCCAAACAAACTACAGGAAGATGTTGGGCAAAACCAAATACAGAACCTGAAGAATGACATGTTGGTTATCAAAAAGTATGCATACATGTCAACTAAGATGGATCATCTAAGCCCAATAAGGTTTGTGATAATTAGTAAAAATCAAAATCTGAAAGAAAAGCTTATTTAGCAAACCCCGAGCTTTCTGATAAACTTGTTGTTTAATCAGTTTCACTGTGGAAGGAGATGTCGATTGGGACACCCCAAATACTACATAAGACATTGTTTGGGGAATTGTGAATCAGAAGAGATGGTGGGTTGGCAATCCCAAAGAGGGTGCGTCGGAATACGGGCCCGTGTTTTTCGAGTGAAACAGCTGTTTTTTTGTACATGTAATCTGAAATTCTATCTTGAAAGTTGCCAATCCAACCTTGCTAATCTTTTTGGCTGCCAAACCCAGCCAGCCGTACAAAGACATTGGGTTACCCAGAGAATGTGAAGATAGGATTTGTTGGACTGATTCCTGAACACCTCAAAACTCAGCAGGATGGAGTTGATGGCGAACCTGACAACTTTGCCATAATCACACTACTCTATATCTGAACCCGACAGCCTATACAGCAACTCGCAAACTTCAAGAAACATAAGTGGTGAAGGAATCCCAAATCTGAAGCATAGCACTTGGCCTGACAGCCGATGTTGCACCCTTACCCGAAGGGTCCACCTAGATATATGATATGTGACTGGTTCTTCATATGTTAACTTGATAACCAAAGCATATGCTATTTAGGTATACGGGCCCTGGGATAAATCCTAACCTTGACAAGGAGATTCTCTGAAACCTACAGCCTCGTCACGACATGACCTGAAAGATTGGATGGGTAGCAAGTCGCTAAGCCTAGCACTCGGTTCCCTAAAACAGCAGGTCATGGTCAGTTCAAGTCCCTGAGATAAAAGAGTCGTTTAAATACAAAATGTTTGGGGGCCAAGAGCCCCAAACCTTAGTCGGGTACGATGGCTGGCAAACCCAAAATCGGAAAGGAGATAATAGTTGATGACCTCCGAAACCGAAAAAGGATTACTAAACATACAATATCTGATCAAAGGTGATGGTGGGAAAATTTGCAACTTGATGCCTTTGAAAGAAGATGATGATTGGCAAACCTTAAATGCTGAGAGGGGTCATTGGGTAATGCAATTTCCAACCCTAATTAGTATGATAGAATGCGTGATAGGCATAAGACTCTTGAAGGAAATATTGAGTAACCTAACACAAGCCAGGCAAATCTTTAACTTTGAACCAGGCGGCAGGGTCTTGGACCTTTGGCCCTCGTAGGAAACGATTGGTTGCACCCGAATATCTCTGAGCCAGCGACATGCCAATCTTCTTAAGAAGAAATAATGGGCGACAAGCAAAATACTGGAATATATTGGTGCCTGGCCAACCTTAAGCCATAAAACCTGCTCCTCCCCCACCACCACCACCACCACCACCACCACCACCACCACCACCACCACCACCACCACCACCACCACCACCACCACCACCACCACCACAAAAAAGTAGGGTTGGTTCCTCAAGCCACAAATGACACCCCCGAGGTCTAATAGGAGATGCTTTTCGGCAAGCCCCAAATCATGAAGGAAGATCCAAACCATGAAAGAAGATACCCTCATGGCCTCCACCATGCGCCACAAGCCATGTAGCCTCTTTGTACTAATGTTTCTATACAAGAGTTGGTAAACCCCGAACACCTCAACGGCTGGCAACAATAGTGCTACAGGGACATGTGGGTTGGCAAACCCAATGTTTGCCGCACATTATCACTGCCATGAACTTGCACTTTGATATCCCGGTGCCTCCGTGGTAGCGACTGTTTCTTATCTGCATGCTGGGAATTTGTTTTCTAACATCTTACTGGCCATCATCTCCGTTTTAAATTCAATATACATTGGTCCACCAACATCCCCTCTTATGGCTTGACATTTGCCAACCCACGTTTTGTCGACGGGTGGGCGGCTTGCGAGATGTCATCTTTGTTTGGCGGGTGTGTGGGTGCCAGCCAATTTCTCATGTCAAGGTTCGGGGTCATGTTAGGACTTGGCTTTGTCAACCAACATCCATGGTTAGAGTGATGGGGTATTTTCACGTTTCGAAGTATGACATATGGTAACTAGCCGTTTTTCCTTTTAACGGTTATTTTGCGACACAGCATTTCACTTTTAAGGCTCGGGCCGTGCCAACCCATACTTCGGGGTTTGCTAACCAATATCTCTGTTTAGGGGTTTGATGCTTCCGAAAACACAATCTTCTTCAAAGGTTGAGGCTTGCCAAACAGTAGCTCTTTGTTCAGTGGCATGGATGTTGTCAATCTACATGTCGGTGTATATCGCTTTCCTCCTACCACCCTTAAAGGTATTGTGGGGACTGCCAGCTACATCGCCTTGTTGGGACTGGGGTTTGTCAATCAACCAACATTTCTTTTTATGGTTCGGGGTTTCCAGCCCATATTTTAAGCAAAGCTTTCGGCTGTATAGACAAACATATGCTTTAGGTACTGGCGGATCTACCAGCCAACATCGCCTTCTAGGATTTGGGGGTTGTTGAGCAACCTACATGTTTTTGGGAGGATTTGGGATCAGAACGCGTCAAAATACGGGCCTGCGTTTGTGTATAGTTATGTTTAGGCTTTTATGTTCTGCAAATGCTAAAGCTGTATCGTAACGTGATTATAAGTACATTGTATTCAATGCAAAGGTAGGTACCAATAAATAACTGGTTGGCAAATATATTCAAGTGGAGGCAATTCATATTCACAGATTAATATAGAAAACAAACCACAGCAGGGAGACGTGGGATAAACATACACACTCAACATTCATCAACATTCCCGTGCTGGGTTTGAGGCTTGCCCAACTCAGTTTTGTGTGGGCATTCTTTGCCTTCCTTCAGGTCTAGTGATGCTCTCCAAGAACAGCACCTTTCCCTTTCCTTTTCGAAATAACTTCGTTAGTATTATACCTTTGTATATATAACTTTATATAAACTTTAATGATGCGAAGTTGGCGTCTCGGGTCTCGGCCCGGGCTCTTCCATGGCACGCTTCAGGAACGTCTGCTCCTCCGGGAAAAAAGCAGACTCTCTTTGCTCTTTCAGTCTTGGCAGCACCAAAAAAAGAGTGTGTCTCCTCAAGGACGTCAAGCGTGATTTCCGCGAAGTACCTGCAAGGAGAGTCTGCATTCGTGCTGCAAGACATTCACTCAAGCGAAGGCTCACTTGGCAAAAAGTTCATCTCCGCCCTGTGACGGAATGGCCCTGGGATCAGCGACGGCCACTACCCCCACATATTACACTCGCCACCCCAAGCATCACGGTCATGTGGCAAACCAGCTCGTCGCAACACTCTGAGTTGCCAGCACGGCTGTCTCGGCCATATTCACGGGAGTTGCAGCTCTGCAAAGGGGTCCAGCAAGCAACTAACTTCGAAGTCTCTTCTGAAGTACTGCGTTGCAGAATGAACTAGTTCATGCACCCATGTGGCCCCAGGAAGCTACTTTGCAGCTGGAAAAAGCGAGCGGCAGAAGAGATCACTCCAGCAGCAGTCCTCGGACAAATCTGTCACTTGACGCGGGCGAGCCCAGGACCTAGAGGATGAACTCAGAATCCAAACGCTTACAACCCCAGATCAAGCCTCTGCATGCCCTCAACACTGCCTTCAAACGCGGTCCATTCCATTAACGCAGCATTTGTTCATCACTGCGGCGGGTGGTGTCTTGCAAAGCTGGCTGGAAGTCGGGCTGTAAATGCGACGCTTTCCAAAAAGGAAGCTACCTGTATCAGCAGATTTATGCCACAGTTTTCGGTTTAGCTCGGCCAATGGAATGAGGGGTTGGAAAGCGGATCCAACGATCCCACCTCAGCTTTGCTTCGAGCAGTTTGCAAGCAGAGCAGCAGAGCAACCGGATGCGGCCGGTCGTCCGGCGTTGTCGTTAGGCTGTGAAGGATGCAGCGGCCGCCCAGCGCTTTGCAGAACTCGCGGCAACTGCTCAGAGGAAGTCGGAAGCCCCATGGCCCAAAGCGTTTCTATGCACTCCCCCGCCTCGGGGAGATGCTGGCAGAGAGCAGAGCAGTCCTTGGGACGTCCTGCCCAGAGCCGAGGGCCTCTTGCAATCGCGGGACGAGAGGAGATGGCATGTGAGGCGTCTGTAGCACAGGAACACCGGAAGACGCCTAGAGTCCTAGAGAAAGCTTGTCGCCTGTCTCCCTTTGTCAGATGCATGAAAATGCTTGAATCACACGTCGCTTTACGTAGCTTCCACGGGACAAGCTTGCCCATCTGCATTACCCGCTTCGAAAATTTATTCTGCCCAAACGCACTTGTGGCAGGCAGGGTGGCGCATTGTCCACAGAGCCTTGATGTCCCTATCGCCCACAGGCAGTGCCAGGACAACAAACGGCTTCCACGACCTGGTAAGGCCGCGCACTAGAACACTGGGTGCGAGGTGCCAGGTTTGCAGCCTTACCACTGCTCTTCGTAGCCTTTCATGCCATTTCATGCCAGCTACAGCTGCTACGGCATCCTCTGCGCAGGTAGGGCGCCAGATTCTTTACACTTGTCCTTGAATCCACTGGATAGTCCTAAAACGTCGATGTGGGGATTCCACGTGCTGGTTGCGAAACGCAGCCCGGACTTGCGTCCCCGATCAACAGGAAACCCTTCTTGTATTGCAGACTTGCAGATGCATTCGAACAACCAGCACTGCTCAACCAGAGTATCGAAAAATCGCCTCGGCAACCTTTGCTCTGAACGTTCTGGTTGGCACAAAAGTCTGCTTCGGCCCCATCTACGACATGGACTTCAAGAAGTTCGCATGTCAGTGCTAGAAAAATTATGGGCCTCTGATCTGTGAAAACATGTCTCAGCAGACCACTAACATTCAGGAAGTATCCGGAGAACATAACCCCATGTTGGCTTTCGATTGTTTTCACCTGACCATTCCCGCCCAATCAAACACTTCGACACCGCCAGGTGTTGCAAAGAGACTGTACCTAGGCAAACTGTCCGCATGCATGCAAGACTGCGACCACCAAGAGCTCGTTCAGATACGGTACTTGTAGTTCACCTAAGAGGTGGCCGACCAATGCGGACTACCGAAAAGGTTGCACTCTGGCAGCAGCTCACAGACACTGATTGCAAAGCTGGAATGCTGCCGATCACCGTGCCGCGGTACAGCCCGAATTTTCATGCACCTTGCAGATCTCTGCAGGCGGTTCACCGACTAAACGTCGAGGTGTCCAAGACCTATAGACACATCCTCCAGACTAATGCGCTTTCGAAGGAGTTGGTTCCTCGACATGCTACCCACGGGGCACAAAGCACGGAAGGTTTCCTGGCAGGACAGGCAAAGCATAATTCAGCTTGCGCAGCCCGACACGCCACTTTGTGTGAGGGTCGGCTCAGCCTTTTACACCAGCAGAAATGGGACCAAAGCGATATCACTCAACTCACCCGGCTGCGGATGGAAACGCCTCGCGCAAAAGTCGGGTCCGGTCGCGAAGCAACACACTACGTCACACATCAGACATCGTCGCTCCTCCAGGTCCTATATTCCATGCAATTGGTCACGATCTCCTGCAGGCAATCGGAAGAAACATCATGAGCTCAATGGCACGACCCACCTCATGACACTGTAGCAGGTGCTGAGGCCAGTTGCCTGACCTCAGAGAGAGGAGACTGCGCAGATGAACACACTCAAAAGCCGGCAGCCCTCAGCTCTGGCCGCGGCTCCAAGCACCCGGGAGGAGTGGAAGGCTGTCGGACGTTTGAAGCTGGTGTCCTTGTCAAACGAATTCGAGTGTCACGTGGTTTAAACGCCTGGTGACCGAGCTGCAACATGTGCCGATGTACAGACGCAAGCATCAGCTCGCACTGCCGAAACCTGACAGCTGCCTTTGTCTTTCAGATCCTGGCCAGTTCCTGTTCGCCTGGGGGTTTCGATTTTTGCCCTGCAGGCTTCCCAAACCTTGGGATATCTTGAGATCTTGGGATGAACGCAAGCACTGCGCCAAAAGCCTCTCTTTTTACAAGTCTTCTCAGCGGCTGATGTGCCCCTCCTCGAGCGCCCCTCTGCTGCATAAGGGCAGTCGCCGTTCAGAACCAATTTCGGTAAAATCCGCACAAGTCCACATTTCAACCCTGCTGTCGGAAACAAAGCCGACATGGAATGTAAGTCTTGACATTTGCATGAAGGTTCCCACAGCCAGGTCGGTGGTATCTTTCCCCACGCTTCGTAGCAACCTGGATTTGTGGCGGACGTGCTGGGTGGCCCGCTGAGAAATCCTAGCCTCGCGCACCTCGATCTCCGTTGTTTGTGCACTTATCCCGAAGTGGAGGCTGAGAAATGACACGCTAGGATCCGGTCGAGTAGGCAGAGCATGTCAGGAACTTCGATGACTTGGAGCCAACATGGCGTGCCATCAACCTAAGCCCTTCTCAGCTCGCGGCACTCAGTGTTTTTCGAACCTCAAAATGTGGACTTTGGACAACAGGACGTCCACACGCGACTGCCAAGGCAAAGGCAAAGTTCTTGCGGAGCAACATGCTTCGGAAGACATTCCTCTGAACCTGACAACCGAAACTGAGACTGGCTAAGCAGCAGCACACACCATATTGGGAGTGTCGGCCTAACATACACCCCTGAACCCTAAACCCTCAACCGTCCGTGTCGTTCAAACGCTTTGGGGAGTCCTGTTGCTGCACATACTTGTCATGCGATAACGGGCGCAGTGAGCGGGTTTGAGCGGATATGGCCAGCCGGGCACCGGACGGCACGCCGGCGCTCGGCGGCAAGGATGGGTGTGATGTGGTCGGCAAACCAGGCATCGCTTTGTGCCTGCACGTGACACTCGGCCTTTCCCAGAGCTTGCGGCCCTCGACATCGCCAGCCTTGATGCAGCTCTGCAAATCTGTGTTGCTGGTTTCCACCTGTGCGTGCAGAAGGTCCTGTCCAAACTGAGATTCAAATGGCGACGGTGTCGAGCCTCGTCCAAAGCCTGCTGTCGCCAAGCGGCCGGGTCCTGGCACACGCTTCGACGGTGCCTGCACTTCGACGCAGACTCGACAGGCCGGGCTGTCCGCAAGGCGCAGGCCATCTGCCAGGTCCTGTTGCACAGATGCTCTCTGCTTGCTTGCGGGTCTCTGGTTCAAGAGGCGATCCTGGAAGCCCAAGTCGTCTGCCAGAGCGACCCAGTTGCAAAGGCCAGTCTTGTTCCGAGCCTGACGAGGCTGCAGCAAAATGCAGCAAACCTAGCAGAGCACTTCGAGACTGGGGCAGTGGCCCCGCGAGCTGCCAAACACCGGCCGATGATGGCAATCACCTGACAAGGGGCAAACTGAGTTGGAGCCCAAGACTCTCTTTCGACCGAGAGAAAAGAACTCCTATCGCTCCTATCCTTTATCCTTTCTCCTTAACCTCAGCAGTTTCGGGGGGCGGGCGGAGACTCGGAGAAATCTCTCGAAGTTCTCACAGCATCCATAGTACCTGAGAATCGGTCGGAGAGCTGCGACCGATAAAACAAAACGCACAAAAGATTCCGGTCCGGGGGGTCACTCTTTGATCTTCTGCTCCAGGACTTTCCGGTCCTCCGGATCGGTGCACCTCACGGAAGCATCTGGCGCTTCCTGGAGCATCTGCGAGACCCCGGGGTCTCTCGGGCGGAGGCTGGCTCTGCTCCACTGAGAAGCGGCGAACGGACTCCAAGAACCGCTCCTGACAACAAAGCGGACCGGGACCGGGCCGTGACCTCGTGACCGCGTGTAGCGGCGATGTGCCGCTCAGCCTCCGTGCCCGCTCGGTAAAGGGACTCGGCGCAGATGACCATGTCGTGAGGCCTGAGTCCATGACTTAGTCTCTCGTCTCACAAGCAAGGAAGGGGACTGGGAGCCCGGCTCGTGAAACACCAGGAAACACGCCCACTCGTAAACGCACCTGCGTTCATCTCGGATTTCCAGAGTCAGAGTGCTCGGGGGCTCGACTCTGAGCACACTGCCACAGTCGTTCCAGGTATGACCAGGTAAAGATCACGACCATGCCGTGGCAGAGCTGCATGAACTCCTCAGCTGCTGAAGCTCTGGTGGGTTATGGTGTGGATACTCACGGATGATCGTGAGCACCCGACTTCAATGAGCTGGATGGACAAGGACATAAACTCCTCATCGTTCTGACCTCGGTGGCTGCATCTTCGCCGCGCTTGAGCCTATGACAATTTACTGTTTCACCGAGAGGCGAATGCAACACTTATCGATCCAGAAGCGCGCCTCTCTTGTCCAATTCGGCAATCCGCGCTCGGGGTGAGCAAGCAAGTGCATTGGAATGGTCTCAGCTGTTGTGAACGATACCTCCTCCCAGCGACTGGCATCACGGAGGTACTCGGCAGAAAGGTCCTCAATTCATAATAACAACACAGACGTGGCCACAAACCCTCCACCCAAGTGTGCCTTCGCGGCAATGCAGAGCTCAGCAGCCTCCAAAAAGTGCAGACTCGGTGAAGACTTGCACTGGCTACTAGCTTTTCTAAACATCCAGGGGCCTTGATGGCCTCGTAGCTGCACTTTTCGCCTGGTCACAACGACAAGCCGTCAGATCAAACGACGCGCTTGAGTGCAACCCGTGCAGCTTGACACTAAGGACACTGCCCATGACTTGATGCCAGTCCTGCATCCAATTTCAAGCCAATCAGAATGCTGCAGTTCGCTATGAGAGGCACCTGCGGGGGCCACCAGCTGTGGCTCACCTCATCAACGACGGCATTACGAGCGGCTGTGGCTTGCCGGCAAGCGCCGCTTTCAGCTCCAAGTCCCAGGCAAAACGCAAAGGTATCTCACAATCAGAGGCGTCATCCGCCAGGCCCTGAGACCGACAAAAAATGGCTCTAAGAGACTTCCAAAGCACAGAGCGGGGGAGCCGGGGAGCCTGTGTACACCACATGACTACAGAGTGGCCCAGCAGAGGTCGAACTTTCGAAGGCTCCTGACATCCGAGCATGCAGCATGCACCTCTTCCCCTGTCGCTTCTCCATGACGCCGGCACTGTTCCATGGCATTATGGCCGTCCTCCGGCTCAGAGACCTGGCTGCGGCAGCTCTCGGACCAAAGGTAGAACTCCTGAAAACGCTCACTACGAAACGGCTCGCAGGCGCAGGCCACGGCGTGTGCAGTCCCACAGTCCTCACTCTTCAGCTGCGGCTTCCAGAAGCCTGCAAGGCGCAAATTCGAGGCTGCACGGTGAAACTCCGGTGGCTTCTTGACCAGTGGCTCGTGTACTCCGCATCGGTGCAGCTGCTGAGCTCGTACCAATGACACGCTACCTTCCGGGCCGCGATGCTCAGGATGCGCAACGCAGGCCGCGGAGGCCGCGGAGGCCGCGGAGGCCGGCAAAGTTTCCCGGGCACCCGGGCCCGCCCTGCCGGCACCGCCCGCTGGAGCATCCGGGCCTTACCGACGGCTGGGACAGCTACTGAGTTACTGTACAGCCACTGTACAACGGTACCCAACGGCTCTCACTGTGGCCAGGGCCAGCTCCAGGCGCCGGTCAGCGTCCTGCCGTCCTCAGCAAAAAAACGAGTGAAAGCCAAAAGCCAAAGTGGGCCAGTCTGAGGTCTGAGGCCCCGACCAAGCCACTGCAGGACGCTGGAGCTTGTGGGAATCTGAAACCTCTGACCTCAGTCTCGAGCGTTGGTCCGTTGGTGTTTGGGTGGGGCTTACGGAGGCGTATTTACTTTGGGAATTCTTTTTTTTGTTTTTGTAATTTTCTTGTTTTGTCTGCGTGCGGGCGCGTGCGGTTCTCCTGCCTTCCTGTCGCGCATGGCTTCTTGTTATTTTAAGTAGATCGAGTCGTATCAAAGTATATCATCCTTTAGTATACTGTACAATATTTTGTCATATGACATTATATTGGTATACTACATGATGTTGTACTTTATGTTGTTATATCAGATAAAGTTATCTCATAATGTATCGTCATGTTATACTCCATACTTCAGGATGTTGTATTAACATGTGTATATTGTACATCGTATTGTTCTATGTTATATCATATCACATTCCATTACATTATAGTAGAATGTTATATTATATTGTGTTACATTATTCCATTGTATCAGTATGATTTATACTTCATCATGTATTATTATATTATGTTTTATTGGGCCCTATTATGTTATGTTATGTTACCTTATTTTTTGGTTTTATGTTAGATTAAGTAAGTTATGATGTTTTATGTTTTATTTCATTACCGTTTTTTATCATATTACATCATATTATAATATAGTGTCTCATTTGTATAGGGCGCTATATTGTACTATATCATGTTATTTTACGTTCGGCTGCAGCAAAGTGGGCTGTTTCCCCCCGTTATGCTGTCATGGCTTCGAGCATACTGCCTTCTTGTCTCGTAAGGGTTTTGGCTTCCTTGGCTTCTTGGCTTTTCGGCTTCTCGGCATCTAACCCTACATAAATGCCGAAATCTTCCAAATGACAGCTTAAACCCTCAGTCAACGGTTTCACTAGATCCTGCTGTGTTAACAGTTCAAGTTAGTGCCACCTCGAGCCAAAACTGCAGCGGCTTAGGGTTTGGTGAAGGAGTGCACAAAGCTTGACTAAACCCTAAACCCGACACTCGACAGCTCACAGAAGACTCGCTCTCTCTTTTTCTCGTGGTGACGTTGGGCACGTGTTGTTTGGCACTCTCGTTGAGAGTGCAACAAGCAAAAGCACTGTTGTGCAACAGCAGGCTCTGCTGCAAAGAGACTCTGTGTCGCAAGGCGGTCCAAGCTTCGTGAGGCGAGCACTGCCCGCAGGCAGCAGACAGTTCGCAAGTCAAGAGTTTCTTGAAGGAGCACTGCCAAGATGGCGTGCTACACTGCAAGCTACTTTTCCCCTCTTAACCTATCAAACGGAAAGCTCCTAGCCAAGGAAGCCCACGCAATCCGTTAGCGCCTGAGAGGCATCGTCTGCCACAAGCGTTACGCCGTTAACCTCCAAGGAGTCGCAAAGTTTTCGGGAAGGCTCATCGGCGATATTAGAAGGGGATGGAACCCTAGAGAACCACGTCCTAATTTCGCCCGCATCCTCCAGCGACAACAGAGCGGTCGCCAAGGCTTTGGCGATGAAGCTTCGTCCTCGGCCCGAGATGCACACGTCTCGGGAAGTGTTATTGTCTAGGTAACACACAAGTGGCCTGTTGCGGAACAGCTCTTTCCAATGGACAAGCGCGACCAGAAGCGCCAAAAACTCCAAGTCAAAGATGATGGTCTTCTTAAACCCCTCGCCAAGTTTCTTCCGCACTTTTTCACTAGCACACATGGAAAAGAATCCCAAGCAATGGCCTTTAGGTCCGAACACTACCGCACCAAGCCCGGCGCACCAGTCAGCACCCGGTTCGTAGCAGGCATCCGTGAAGAGAAACAAGGATTCCTGATGATTTGCCGTGACCACATGTGGCCTGCTCTCCTGCAAGCAATTGTGGAAGCGAAGCAGAGAATCCCACAAGTCTCCGTCAGTCACATCGTCATGCGATGCATGCACATGCCGCGACACTGCCTGCAAACTCAAGCGCGAAGCTGAACAAGAACCCATCGCAAAATTGCATCCTGCCGCGGAGTCGTTGAGCTTCCGCCCTCGACAACTTTCGTGATGCCAACAAGTCTGATATTACTGACGTCAGCTCGGCAATCCTAGATGGGGTGTTGGAAATAGTGGCAAACCCTTTATGGGACTGGGCGAGGTTAAACAAGACGCCTAGTGCTTTGTAGGAGGTACTAAAATCGACGGCTTTGGATCCGCACTCGTCGAATAACCAACCTAGGAGTCTGAAGAAAGTGCAGACTGTGGCCTCCGTGTGTCGGATGTCGCAAGCTTTGGCAATTGTAATAAAATCGTCAAAATAAAAAGACGCTCCAGCACAAGCCTAGCGCCACGCAGCCCAGCCACCACACGGCCGTAGCCGCGCGGAGGAAGCCAAACACCGACCTCGAAGCTCCAAAAGGAAGTGCGAGCAGTTGATCAAGTTCAATGGAACCCGTGATGGGGTTCCAATGGGCGACATAGGACTGAGGTAAAGACTCGGGGTGCACAGGCAGTTGCCTATATGCGGACCTCAAATCGTACGGTCTACCTTGTAGGGGCACACCTGGAGCAAGCCGCATAAACGTCAACATAGCAGCGGCCACAACGTCCGGCCCATGCGGTTTGGGAGATTCCTGAACCGTCACCAATTCATTCACACCGCTAAAGCTCAAGTCATCCACTAACCTAACCTTTTCCCCTTGCCGAAGCCCGAACCTACGACTAATCAAGCTGTCAGGCGCCAAGGAATGCAGAGGAACGGGCCCAGTAGCCCATCCCTTCTCCCGCTCTTCCACCGTCTTTTCGTGTACTACAACATCCACATCCCCTTGCGGCTTTATGCACTCCAAGACTCTGGACCGGGACCCGGGGGCCCATTGTTCAAGATCAGCAGCTTGCCGCACAGCAGGCTTAAATGTTGGCGGGAAGATTCCGGTGTTTGGCGTCTGGCCTGTGAGCCGGATGCCGTGCGTGATCTCGTCGAACACTTCTGGATCCGGATACTCATAGGCAGAAAGGAGTTCCTTGAACAAGAGCAAACGTTTTGGTGCCAAGATGCTGGCGACGTGTGGGGCCAAAGATGCTTTAAAGGATACCTCTTCACTCTCCAGCTCCTTGGCCCTCGACAACCACGTCTTAAAGAAGATCGCCCTGTCACGAGCCAGTTGCTCGGAAGATGATGACGCATTTCTCTGGATGGCATTCTGCAGAACCTGTGGGATAGCGGCTTCCCACTGGCATGGATGCCCTGCCCTGATTGCTGCTTTTACAAACTCTTGAGGATCCCTCGGGACACCCCAAGCAGCAACCCAATCAACATCCGAAGAACCCAGACCAGAAGAGCCCGAACTAAACCCCTTCTTAACCGCGCTAGTGACTCGAAGTAGCTGAGCACCCGCCGGCAGGACCCGAAGTGAGCACTCAAGATGAGCTGGCAGCTCAAGGTCGGATTTCAAGCGCTCCATGCGGGCCACCGGCCAGTCGAACTGCCCGCGCACAAGCAGGACCTGTTGGTGCTCTGAGACCAAGGCGGGAAATTTGGATGCCTTGGGTTGTGACATTGTCGCAGGGGGGGAATTGCCACCTGAGGCGCGGCGACAAGAAAACGGCGTGGCACAAAACCATCGGCCAGCTTTGCTGCAACATCCCAGGTGTAAGTGCGATCCTGAAGCGGAGCTTGGTCAAAGGAGGGAGCACAAGTGCACTCGGCTTCATCTGCGAAGCCCTCAAAGGCATCACGATTGCTGGCCAACCTAGACCAGCCACAAGTGGCTGCACACTCAGCAAAAACAATGGCCTTGGAAAAAGGGCAGAGACCTCGGACCTTTGCACCAGCTGCTGAACTCCAAAAGGGCGAGGATGAAGGCAACTCAATGGAAACCAGGAGTCCAAGGTCAACAGCCTGACACACCAAGGCTTCAACAGCGTGTGCCAGAACCTGAGGCATGCAAAACGGCGGGGCGAAATGAACGCCGACCACATGATCGGCTTCTAGCCAGGAGGCAAGCAGCGGCTGGCTTTTGGCAACATCAAGGATCTTAGGTGGCGCAGCAGGGCCCGAAACCAAACCGGAATCAACCGCTATCGATCCTGAGGCTCCGCGGGCTCTGAGCTGGGCTGTCAGCCTACCGACACCTGAGAAAATTTCAAGCACTACCGGAAAGCTGGGAGCAGTCGACGGAGCCGTAAAGATGTCGCCCGTGCCTAAATCGGGAAGGCTAAACCCTAGCTGCAACAATTCTCCTATGAGGTCCGGCGAAAAGGCATGATAACCCTTGACAACAAAACCCACAAGAATGCGCCTATCACCCGACCACGCCTCGGTGCAATGCAAATCGTGCGAGTCGAAGCGCACCACCCCGTTAGCAAAAGAATGGATTGTTCCTGGCTCGAGGGTGGAATCAAGTGGGCAAGGCGCATCGCCGCCACCCTGGACCCAGATGCCACCGCCACTAAAGCGTGATAAAGCAATGGCTGTGTTGAGTGACCCACTGGCATTATTTAGATCCTTGTGGACCCAAGCAGACTGATTTGTAAGCAACGCGAGACTGGTGAAAACAACATCAGGACAAGCAGCGCGCAACACAACGGCCAGTAGGGCCGATGCCGCTGGAAAAAGTTTCAGGTTGTTCCTGGCTCCCAGGTTGCCACCCCGGACGTATGCACCAGAGGTCCACGAATGCCCTCCAGGATGTGTGTCTTCGGAACGCGCTGGAGCTTCAGAAGGAAGCAAACTGATCAGTTCAGCTATACACGAAACTTTGAATTTGGATTCAAGGATCTCCCGCGCTAATGCTTCCGCGGGGTGATCGACAAAAGGAACCTGCCTACTAAACTCTTCGCACAATCCTGAAAAGAGGACGGGATCAAGCTTTACCGGCTCGTGCACATGGAAGACATGGGCATCACCCGTGGCAGACCCAGGGGTGGCCGCCTCCACTGATTGTCACTCCGTATGATTAAGGAGTGCGTGGTCGCCAAAGCATTTGGCGCACACATGCTTCCTGGTGCAACCTGGCGTGTTGCACTTTCCATGGATACTGTAAGTGAAGCAGATCGCCTCACCCGCAGGCGTGACCGCCACACCACCGCGGTCCCTAATGAACTTAGGAATGCTGATCCACGGCGCGGCCTTTCCTTTCTTTCCTTTGCCCTTACCCTTCTTGTGCTCCTGATTTGCTGATGCAGCCGCGGAATCAGACTGCACCCGCTGCTTCTTCCAAGGGCGGCGCGGATTATTGCCACCTTTGCTCGGCAAATGCATCAAAGAGGAACTGACCTGGTACGACTCGAGCGCCGCATGCAGAGCTTCGTCCAGAGGCCGCAGACCGCTGGGTTCTTGTTTCGGTTTGACATTAAGCTCAATGAGACGAGAGAAGACCAGGCGATCAGCTTCAACAATCTGGCTCACAGAGATGCGATTGTGGTTCGGTGGCGGCTCGCGATGCATATGGCCAAACAATTTGGTCACATACTTATCGTAAGCATTCCAGTTCACAGCCTGAGCGAAGGTATATGCCAGGCCCCGACGTCGCAGCGCCTCCTGGACCTGAAGGGCCGAGGATGCTGGCATGGAGAACTCATCTTGTGCCTCCTTGATGATGAGGCGGCTCTGATCTATTTCGACTTGCCGAGATGAATCCTTGGCATGCGTGACCTCATGCAGGCGACTAACACATTTATCAGGCGAAAGATATTTCAACTGGCCGACCGCCTCCTGATGCGAGCATTCGTCCAAAAGCTTCCGCCCAGGTTCCAACGGCCCTTCAATGTTCAGACCGCTCAACTCATCCCTCAACTGCTGAAGCCGGCGCTCACGCTCAGCTTCTGGAACTCGCTTACTGGCCGAGTCAGGTTCAGTTATCTGGGCTCGAAGCTGGGTGAAAGCCAGAGTTTGTGCCTCAAACAGTAGCCGCTTCAACGATGCAAGATCTGCAGCTGATGCCGCCGGCACATGATTGCGACACCAATCGGTGAACTCAGCCTCCGGTATCAACTGGCCTGGTTGCCCCACGGTGTAAGCAAGCTGCCCCAGGGTTCTGAACCCGTGCCGCCTCAGCGCTTGCACCGAAACGTCTGAAAGTCTCACCTCAGCTGCGCGTTGCACAAAGTGTGCTTCCGATTCCACCAAGGAAGTCATAGCGGCACGCAGGGGTCTAGTTTATCCACAAATGTCATATTCTGTGAACAATCAGACATGACAGTGCTCAAGTACTCGCAGGTGATTTGACAATCTCAAAATCACAAGATGGCACTTGCCCACATACTCGAGCCCATGGCGACTTGACAAACCATTCGACAATGTCGAATCTTGGCAGGCGAGGAGGAGGGCGGCACACACAAGGCCCCTGCCCTCCACTTCCTCCAGATCGCATGTTCGCTCAAGAGGCTCATAGCCGACAGACCGTACCAGTGGCACATGCCAACTTTCAGGTGCACGGCTCACTCACTTCATGCGCAGCCCCTTGGCTATGAGGGTTCGCCGGGTCGGCTAAACCCTAAAATCAAGGGGGTCATTTCCCTGAAAAATGACTCCGAATCGTGCAAAACCACTGCCTACCCAACCCTGTATAAAAACCAGATTTTACATAGACTTGGGTCTACAGTGTGCCCAAAAACAAGAAAAACCCACAAAATTAATGCTCGGGCGCGCAAATGTTCTCAAAACCGACCCTGGCGAATCCTTATACCCTTGGCCATAGCTCGGAAGTTTTCCTCTCAGCCGGAGTTCCGCTCGCAGGTCTTGCACACGAGATTTCCCATGCGCGTAATGTCCTCTACATAATCATAGGCTTGAGTTCGGGGCCTTCCACACATCAAAATTTTCTCACGATAAACACGGTGCAAAATGTGGGAGCGCCGGTGCACTACCCACCCACCTTCAGCCTCCACGCAGTTCTCCTCTACGCGGCTGGCCCTGTGGCGCTTCACGGGGGACTCCGTCACCTCTCCATCAGAATCTGACTCACTGCTGCTAGTCGAGCTAGAAGTAGAGCTGTCACTCTGCCCCTCATCCCCCGACTCAGAAGCAACAGCTCCCGGCTGCTCTGCTGACGGTGTCCCGAAGATATTCTCTGTAGACACCTGAACACGTCCTGGCGAGGCAATCTCGGCAGCTGGCGGCGGGAACGCCCACATGAGCGCCCTGGAAGCATCCGGCGCAAAGGATCCATTCACTATGAACTTGATGAGGGCCTCGAGCTTCTGCACATGTGGCAAACTCAACTCTACCGAGTAAACCGCTTCAGTCCCTTCTGTTGCGTAGGCATGCCGACCCAGGCAACTTCGAGTGAGGCGATCAAAACCTGCTTTGCTGGCCCAGGATAGGCAGGTCCGTTTCATGCTGTGGCTCGTAACCCGATCCCCCTCACTAGGGGCATCTCGGCCGAGGCCGAGCAAGAGGCGCACGAACACTGAAACTTCGTCTGATGTTATGCTGCGTCGGCATAAGTTAAGGGAATCAAAACTTTGAGGCGGCCGGAAAAGCGGACCGCTGACCTCGCCCCGTAAGGTCAAATGCACAGCCGTAAAGGCATCGTGGGCCGCGTGTATCCAAGGCTTGTCATGGACTCCTGCAACGGGAATGACAATTGGCAGCAATCGAAGTTTCTTCGCCGTGGCTCGGGAGGTTTTATGGTGTTTGGTGTAGATGATGATGTACCCTTGAGAGCCCTGCCGAGACAGATCAGCGGACTGTGGGACATCCCACTCAACATGAGAGACCCTTTTCAAGTCACTGTGACGTGCACGTCCGTACAAGGCAACCAAGCAATAAGCGCAGAAGGCACGGTCCCACCTGCTCGTGTTCTCGCTGTGCAACGCTTCATGGATTACCAGGATTTGGTCCACAGTCAGTGGTGCTGCCTGCCTAACAACTCCAGCCTGACCGGCCATTCGCTCTGACAGCCCAACACACTTGCGACTGGGCTCTTCCAATCGGCTAAGCCCCAACACAAACTTACCGAACCTCACCGATGAAAGAAAGGACGAAGCACTCGAAGCGGCTGCACCGGAGGACTCCAAGAATTTAAGGTACTTCCAGTAGGCGGCATCACAAAATGCCGACACATTTGAGTTCGATACAACGTCCAGCCACCTCAGGTATGCGGCAAACGTGTTTGCCCGCTTGGTGACCCTGTGCACAGACCTGGTCCCGAAACAAGCAATGATCTCCTCCTCAGTCTCAGGCGCAAAACCAAACTCACGAGCATACCGGTAGACTACTAGGGCCCATTTTGCAGCTGCACGATGCAGCAACTTCTCCTCCTTCAACAGATCATCATCATCGCGAAATTTTCTGATGGCATGCTCACAAATGTTCCCTTCAAGCTTTGCAGCTGCTTTTCGCTGACTCGAGCTGAGGTCCCCACCTGCCACACCTGACAATGGAGGTACGGCCCCTTTCAACACGAATGATGCAGGGACTAGGTTCGCAAGCACCGTTGCATGATCCTCGGAAAACACAGCTTTCATGAGAGGGGTTTCCCATGGCAACTGCAAAGCTGCAGCCGGATCCTCCGCAAAGCGAGCTACTGCCTGCTGGACAACTCGATTTACAGATACCTGTGCAGGGGCTGACGAACATGGCAAGGGTACACCAGTGGCACTCAGCTTTCCGGGCTCCTGCGTCACATCACACTGCCAATCACTTAAGTCACTTACTTTTGCAGGGCCCGCTGCTTCTGTAGCTTCCTCCAAGATTTCTGACACAGGTCCGGCCTCCTCGGCCACACTGGGAGACGACACACTTAGGGCATCCCAAGGGTGAGGCTCCGGACTACCCTCCGCCCACCTAGGCAGGGACCCTAGATCGTCTACTTGGGAAGGGGAGGCAGCAATACACGAAGGCTCGCCCTCAGCATCAGAAGCGAGGAGATCCCCGGCAAACAAAGCGTCCACGCCAGCTAGTGACCCCACAAGTGAACTAGCCAAGCCCCGAGAATCAGAACACACCGAAACCGAACTAGCACCCCCCCCCTTAACCAAAAGCGGCTGGGAAGGTATGTGCGGGGCCGCGGTGGCCGGCACAGCTGATGCAGGTACTGCAGAATGACGTTGTGGGTCCTCCAAGCACTGCGAGGCCGCAGGGGCCGCACCTGCAGCCAGCTCAGGGATTAACTCTCCACTCGGCTCTGCCATTGCGTTGGAAAGTAGGCTTGCAACGCTCGGATGAGAAAATCGAAGCAGCTCTCGTTGTGCAGCGTGCGCTCGGTCAAGAGTTCAAGGGCTGGGCTGGGGTCAGAAAGGCGAGGCTGCAAACGACGGGCGGCTCTACGCTCACTGGTGGTTACCGGATCCAGCTGCTCCTGAAGTCGATCGACTTGGCACCTAAGCCCCGTGACGTCCCCTTGCAAGGCAGCAAACTGAAAGCGCAAAGCAGTGAGCTCTTCCTCCAGGCGGAGCAACCTATTGGCTGCAGCCGCCTCCTGGTCCATCCGCTCCTCTACGGGAGGAGCTTGCACGGAGCCCTAAGGGCAGCTAAAAATTTTTCACTGCAATGATGTAACCTCAAGTGACATGAAGGCTATGTCACACATGGAACAGCATGCCACACATGCCTCAAGCTTCAAGCCAAAAGCAGCCGGCTGGCATGAAAGTTCAACTGCTCAACGCGAGCTGCCGTCATGCAATCACTCCAAGGCAACAGCCTACAAAAGAGGGTACTTAAACTCGAGGTGGCAAAATTCTTTTCCTTACACAAGTAAAAGACTTCAGAAAATAACTTTCACTTTTAAGGCGCTAGCAGCGGAGCGCTGCCAACTCGCTTTCTTGAGGTCGCAAAACCTCACAACATGAGACAGAATCCGTACGAATATAGTGTTTTCCCGAGGAACTACCAAGCAAAACCTAAGGAAAGAACAAAGAATCCGTAGGAAAGGAGTATCTTTCCCAGGAAAAACACAGGATTCCGTCCAAAATGTACGGAAAATAATGTTTCCCTTGTAAAACGCAGGAAAACATGCTGCTTGCCTATGATTTAGGCCAAGCACACCGCCAGAAAAAAAAATAAATAAATAAATAAATTCCCAAATACATTTCTGGCCCGTACCCTTGATAAACTGCATTTAGCCAGGGCCCCGGGCGGATCTTCGCAACCGACGGCAGGGAGTCAGGATCCTCTCACAGTGCCACACGACAAACCGAATCCCTTCCGAATCGAGCTGCGCCTGCATTGTGGTTGTCCGCGTGACATCAACATCCTCATCGAGCGTACCTGTTGGCAAGCATTTTTGCACAGAAGGGCTCGCTACCCAGTCTTGGCATCGAGGGCGTTGCTATAGGAGAAGCTCGTTTGGCAGTCAGAGGGCCGCCTGCCAAAAGGATCCCAAAAACCCCCTGCTGATGCTGGAGCTGCACCAATGCAGCAGCCGCATCAGCAGGCGCATCAGCAGCCGCATCAGCAGGGGCAGTGCCTCGACCGTGCATCGCTGTCTTTGGTGTCGACCTAGGCTCGGCGGGGCTTCTTAGACTTTGAGTCTTGAGGTCGGAGCATGTCAGGGCATCTCGCCTGCTCCCGCGCTGCAATGACGACCTCCGCCCCTTCGGCCTCCTGACGCCGAGCCCGAGCCCACAGCGAAACGAAACGGCGAGGCCAGAAAACTGCGGCCTGCCGGCAGCAGCTGGCACCGAAAACCTAGGCTCCGCCAGGGCACGCGCGCACTTTAGGCGACTCCCAGCGACGCAGAAGGTCCCCACATCCGTGCCACGGCATGCAGCCGCCAGCACCTCTTTCAGGGAAATCTCTTCTGTCTCTGCTTGCGCCCTGCTCCCGCGGCTTGGTTGGAGGTGCCTTGTGCACATCGAACCAGCTGAAACCAGCAAGGGCCTCGCAGCGAGAACGTGTCGCCTTCTAGCTTTCCATGCCCTCATCGCTGTGCTCCCTACCGACGTTGGCTGGCGCGAGGCCACCGAAGGGCCTGAATCCGACATCGGAGGACAATCAGAGCTCAAGCCAGAGCGAGGCCGGAGGCGAGGCCGGAGAGGCCCGAGCTCTGAAGGCTGCTTTGGACCACCTCGCATAGCGCTGCTTTTGCACTCACGGACACCACCACCAGCCCGCGACAGAGCCCGCTTTTTTTGCACCTTCCAAGTGATCTCCGTCTTCCCGTCGCCGCCTTCCGGAGCACGGAGCGGAGCACCAGTCCGGTGAAGCATCGCTCACCGAAGGCTCAGCAGATGGCCGGTCTTCAGCAACTCCACATGGACCTCTGCAGAACAATGCTGCGCTGCACGGCTGCACTGCTTATACTGCTTCCCCCCCACCCAAAGACGCCTCTGGGGTGTTTTGGGCTCCGGCGTTGTAGAGAACTGCCGCTACTTCTCGGAGCACGCCTCAATACACCCTTGAACTGAGGCTCTCTACCTGACTCTACCTCACCAGTTGCCGTGTTCCTGCTGCCGCCGCGCCTAGCCTTTTCGGGAGTGGCCGCTAATCCACGTCTGCCTTGTAATTTACTGTTTTGGCCAAACGGCCAGCCACAACCTGCCACAAAAACATCCTGTTGATGCCCCAGACATCTTCAATAGAACCGATCCGTGGCTTCCAGCAAGCTTTGTTGGATACGAAGGATGGAAGCCACAGGGACTAACAGAGAGGGGAGAGTGACGCAAAGACAGAGGGAAGGACCGTCGGACGATGGAGTTGAAGCTGCCGCTTGTAGACTTTCAGAAAAGCTTCTGGAGCTCCCTGAAGCAAAAATTGGCGCATTCACGGTGTTTCGAAGATGGTGAGCACGCAGTGACTGAGCATGCTCGCACCGGAGCTGTTCTAAGTTGCTGTCAGCACATGACAACTTCTCTTGCTTCCGGGATGCCCTTCGTAAGGCTGGGCACAAACCTGGACGAGCCTTGGCACACAAAACTCAGCACTGCACAAAGCACAAAGGGAACAGGGCGCGAATCTACAGTAGAACATCCTGGGGGACGGACTGTATGTCAGAAAGAATTCGCCCTCCTCAGAACCTACAGACCACGATCCATCAAGCATGCGGGACTTGATGAAGGTAAGGCACACGCGTGATGCAGTAAATATCGGAAAGCATGCTGAACGAAAATCACGCTCGAGAACCTCAGGGAATCTGCAACTTCAAGGCTGATCTAATCAAGAAAGTTCTGTGCTGAGACGGCATCATGGTGCATGTCATTCAGGTTCTGCACGAACTCCTGGTACGTCGCGTGGCAAAGCTGCTGCGTGCAGTCTTCACTAGCCGGCATCCTCCAAAGAGCTTCCCATGGCTTGCAACCACTGCGTCCAGCCTGCGGAGGCTAAAATGGCTAAAACTCATCTTCACCCGCTTCCGCTACGACTGATCATGTCTGGCTGGCGAAGATAACGATGCCCTTGCCTGTATGACTGTATGACGGTAACTGCCATCTCACGCACTATCTGCTGACTAGCTTTGTCCTTCCGCCGATTCCGGTACATGCCAATACGGTTGTATTGCGATTCGACAGGGTGGGAAACCACCATCATCCGCCTTGCCGAACCATGAATTGCACAAAGAAGGCACCAAAGAGCTCCAAGCCTCAGGTGAAGACTTCTCGGACGGAGGGATACACATGCCTCCCCGAATTTTCCATCCGAGGCCTTGGCTGGCCTCGAGGCTGCTGCCGGCAGCCCGGATGCTGGCCGACATGACTTGGTGCGTCAGCTTATCCTTCGACGCTCTGCCACACTCCCGACACACGGGGGGCAGGGCTGGCCAGAGCGCAGCCGACCTCGTGCTGCTTGAATTCAAGGAATTCCGCGTCGTCTTGCACACCACAAGCTCGAAGAGCCTACTCAAACAGAACAGGCAATTTGCACGCAACTTGCGGTAACGGGCATAGGCTTCCCTTAGGAGCTCTTTCGGCCTGTGCCCACACCTCCTGACCATGTTTCTCTTCGATGTAGCTTTTCCAGACCTGCGACAAGTTGTCAGGCGTTTTCAAGTAAAACAGCACCCGAACTGCTTGGGGTGGTGCGGTGTGGATCAAGCCGTGCATGCCGCCGCAACTACACTAGCACTCCATATATGCAACAAGCGGCTGAAATCACGTCTGTGCTGCCCCGCTACTCTGTGTCTGGCTGCGTTGTTCAACTTCACCTTCACGAGGCATTGAAAATTTGCACATGCTGCGTCACGCTTTGGTCTAAATCAAAGTCTTTCAGAGGTCGACAGCTTGGAGCCCACAGCATACGCAAATGGCACGGAGCAGCTGCTGTCAGAGAACATCAGCAATAAGAATACTCTACTATGGTAAAGATCAACTTTTAACGGCTGCAGAATTAATTTAGGTATTTTTTGTTCTTTTTCGATATTCTTTTTGTTTTCCTTCTTTTCTAGCAAATTACATGCAATTTACAAGTTGCACGACGTCTGAAGTGCCGACTTCTGTCTAAATGTACATCTGCAAGCGTGTCTACTCATGCAAGCTCTTTGCTTTTTGCAATTTACACAACATAGCTCGATTCTTGTTCGGCCATCCGGAGGGTGCCGGGGTACAGCATGTTTTAGCTAGCACATGGTTTACTGTCGAGCGTTTTTGCTGTTTTCGGGAGCTGGTCTTGGGGTCTTGGGGGGTGGGGGTGGGGGGGACTGATGACGTCCACTTCGCCACCATCATCATGATCATCGTCATCATTGTCATCATCACGGCATGGTCATGTTTTACGCTCCGGTACTCACATCATCCCCACATGAGGTTAGACCCTCAACACAACAGTAATTCCGCCCCAGCAACCAAAAAACGACCCAAACCATACAAATCCCACCCCGCCGAAAACAGCTAGTTCTAAGCCTAAAAACCGCCAAAAGCTGTAAATACCCAGGAGCTCCTGACCCTGCAACGTCCGATGTGGCATTTATTTTTTTTTTGTTGCCCAAAGTCGTGCTTGCTGTTTGCGGGGTCTGGTCTTGAAGTTTTGGGGGTGGCGTGGGGGCTGATAACGTCCACTTCGCCACCATCATCATGATCATCGTCATCATTGCCATCATCATTGTCATCATCCTCGTCATCGTCACAGCATGGTCATCGTTTACGTTCACATGAGGTTACACCCTCAACATACCAACAAGTATACAGTGCCCCAACCAAATCAAAATACGACCCAAAACATAAAATTCGGCTCCCGCCGAAAACCGCTAGTTTTAAGCTTTCCTGACATTTTGGACGGATTTCGTGCTATTTCCCGCGTTTCGCTGACCTGAGCCTACATTATCTTAGTTGTTGTTGTTGTCCTGAGAAAAACCAACGTTACCTTGGTTGTGGTTGCGGTTGTTGTTGCTGCTATTATTGTTATTGGTATTATTCTTCTTGTGGCTGTTGTTAGCCTTATTTTTTTCTATTGTTATGTATTGTCGTACTATTATTGTACCATTTCATTCATTGATTTATTGGATTTATTGTTACTATCATATGTAGTAGTTGTTATTACTATTATTACTATTATTACTGTTGCTGTTGTTGTTGTTGCTGCCATTGTTATCGTTGTGGTAGCCGCTATGGATCACAGCAGGCTGTGTAGCATTGCTAACAGGGCTCTGGGTACCAAGGCTAGAGGCTCGCAACGGCCCCCTTCTGCGAAGCTTAAGAGACTGTCCTCTTATTGAGCCATAGCTATTCCCGGAGCCGCGCGCCGCTGTGATCTACCGGGTCCCAATTCCCGGGCCTCTGTCTGCAGTTATACAACCTTGGCAAGAGGTAAGCGGTAGGGTTCTCACCTTTCCGCGGGGTGATGGGAGTCGGATTGAGTTCTCTCTTTCCAGCGAAACTAGCGGAAGGCGCGTCGACTGTGCCTCAGTGCTTTTCTCCGCCGATGCTTTTACATTTACAAAAGGACCTGCCGCACCAAGCCATTCAAGGGGCGGCCCCAGTCATGGGTTGGCCATCTTCTGCACCTGGGTATCCTGAAGGAAGCTTTCGAGTTGAGGCCCCGTTCCGCTCCTCTCTTCGACTTTCCAGCTACACGACAAGACACCCAGGCACAGCTCACGGTTTCTCCTGCGCAGTTTTGCTGGCGCTCTGGTTTTGCGCTTTAACTGGTACACTTCAGCAAGAAGGACACGGATCGTCTGGTATTCTCATGCAGTCTTCTTCGAGCACTAGTTTTTCCTTCAACGGCACAGTGGACTGCCACCGGCTGCTACGAAGCCAGTGCGATCGAGAGTTCTTCGTCACGGTTGAGTGTTTTCTGCGCTTCACTTCTGTTCAGCCGCCAGCGCCTGGGAGCAAGTCAGACTCAGGACAGGCTAGGCGCAACGTGGTGACTCACAACGCGTCAGCATCCTCCCAATGCTGGCCCCGACGGGCATTCCAGGGACTCCTCTTGCTATGGGGTGCCCTTGTGGGCCTAGAGGGGCTATCCTCTTTGGAGGGGGAGGCCTCTCGGGGGCCGCCGGGCCAGACTTGTCTACAAGACAAGGCGCAGATTGGGACACTGGGAACTCAGGTTCAGCAGAGTTGGCCAACGTCTTCAGTTCCAGCACGGTGTCTACCTGGTACGGCTCCACGTCACATCTGGGTACAGTCGTTAAGCGGACGCGCTTGCTGTGCTATGGGTGTCGGGCTACGGCTACGGCCCTCCCAGGTGTGTTCGTTACTGTCCTGTTACCGACGGGGTCAGGCAGTGCTAGGAGTGACGGCCCACGTGTTTTTGCTTGACGACGAATTATCCTTACGGCCCATCGCTGGTAGTCGGGAGTTACCTAGTGTGGGACGCCACTAGACGGGAACTCTGGGAGACGGCTCTTCTGAGTACGACCCACCGGCTGCCAGTTCGTGAGTATTGGACGCAATGACTCACACTGAGGGTGACGGAGGCTACATGACGACGACTTTGTGAGTCGGGCTGTCACGTTAGGAGTCGGGCATCGCTCGCGTAAAAACGGGCAACGCCTTTGTAACTGAAGTCAACTTCTTGTGGCCTATCCCCTAGAGGCTGGTGCCCAAGAGCTGTTGCTGCTGTGTACAGTCTGCAGCGCTGCTCTTCTTGACTTAGGCCCTTTCTCTTTTAACGTTTGTAGCATCGGCTCCTCTTTTTCCTTCACTGAGGATCCTATAGGGGTTGTGCGGTCTTCTCTGTTGGTTCTGTTAGGGTTCGTTTTGGCTTGTTTTACGCGAGGCCTCGGGGCCTGACTTCGGTCGTAGTTCTCAGAAACGGATGAAGGAGGTACCTGCGATTCTCGCATGGGCAGTCCCCTCGCGCAAAGCGCCAGTCTGTTTCTTTTTCTTTACAAGGCCGCCGGGCGAAGACCGCGTAACCTCTATAAGAATGTCGGCAGGTCAGATTCTAAGGGAGTGGTGCTGGCTTATGGCTCACCTCGGTGGCGCTGGCTCACGGCACACTCGGGGATGGCACGCTTCCGAAGTTTCTGCTCGCCCGCAATGAGCAGAGCCCGCTCGCTCAGCGTCCAATAAAAATTATCGTTGTGGTCGTTGTTGCTGTTCTCGTTATTCTCAGCCGTTGTTGTTGTTGTTAGTGTTATTATTATGATTGTTCTTGTTGTTGTTATTGCTACTAGTGTCGTTGTCGTCGTTGTCGTTGCTGCTTTTGTTGTCGTGTCACTGCTTTTGTCGTTGTTGTTGTTGCTTTTGCTACTACCCTGACTGCAGTGGAGCTTAAAGAAAGCAGCGGGGAGGGAGCAAGCAGCAAAGCTTGCAGTTTAGGCAAAGCGGTGGGGGTTGGGGGGCGGAGCCCCCCCCCCCATTTGTAAACCTTCCAAAAATGACCTTGTTTTTTTCGTTTTTACACCCTGAAGCGATTTCGTGTGGTTTCTCCAGTCTTGTGTGTTGGAGAAGACGCTTTTAACCATTTATTCGTTTTACAAAGGAGACTCTTTTTCACTTTTTTTTGTCTTCTTGCTTTTTTACTCCCCAGCGAATATGTCGGGTTTTCGCCTTCTTCTTGTCTGTCGGTGAAGACGTTTCTTTTATGATTATTTTAATTTTCCTCGCTTTTGACCCCCTGAAGCGTCTTTGTGTGGCAATTCTCCTTCTTGGTTCATTTCTTCACGGCTTAAGCGGCGCGGGGGTTGGGGGGTCCACCCCCCCCCCCCATTTGCAACGAGGGGGCCCCCTTCGAAGAGGGCTTCGAAGGCGATTTCGCAAGGGATTTCTTTTGCATGTTGGAGAAGATAATCTTAGTCTTTAATAATAGTAGTAGTAATAGTAATTGCTGGAGCGAACCAGCAGGTTGAGAGGTAGACACAAGTGGAGTAGCTAATTCCCTTGTCCCATACTCCCCAGAACCCGGCATGGCTCACTCAGAGGCGGAGATTTTACACGCAAGCAAAAGACAAAACAAGTGAAGTCTGTGCTACTTGCGAGGGCTTGGCACCTACAAGTATGAATGTACAGATGTGCTTAAAATGCATTGCTCAAGACCTACTGTGCTTGGCCTACGAGCAAAAGGAAAAAGGACATGTACACATGGCATGAGCTGCAAAAGAAGCATGCACTTCAGCACTCCTCCTTCGCAGCCCCGCCAGGGAGTTGCGACCTACTTTCTACTGCAGGTCCAACCCGTCAGGGTGACGACACACCTACTCTGAACTACCGGGCAAAAGCTGGGCCAACTGCCCTCACTATGCGAGGGCTCTCAAAGCACCTCGTGCGGAAAAAGACACAGCTACGGATGAGCTCACTGAGAGATCCAACCCGTCAGGGTGGAGTAGTTCCTACCCTGTGCTGTGCTGGGTGTGGTCTGCAGCGCTCCCGTGGCACTGCTGGCACACTTGAAACTCAACAAACCTGTGCGAGTGGGCGAGCGTGGAACAGGCCTTAGTGCGGTGGAGCTTGGTCCCGTTGGGTGTTGCAAAGTAACGCGTTGGTGCTCCACCTGCCTGCTCACGCGTGCGAGTTGTTTGTGAGGGGCGGCGTCTGGGCGCTGCAGCAACAGACTGCGAGCTGGCTGCCTCCTCACGTGCAGAGATCTCGGCCTGGATGGCCTGCGCAGTTTGATCTCGAAGGCGCTGTAACTTGCGCGCCTTGCGGGGGCTCAGAGA